AAAAATGCAATAAAGTTTCTGTATCAAAAAATTTATATTGGTTTCATGTTTTTTATAATTTACCTGTGTTTGTGTGCGCTTGTAGGAAACACTAATATATGTGTGCATGTGACATCTTGGTGTAGAGAGTGGTGAGTTAACAGATGCTTGACTAAATCTCTCGTCTGGGGTAAACTGATCAGCCATCAACCGTAATACTGAATCAGGTTCGAGTGAAACTAAGCAAGCACTTAAAATACTGGGAACAGCACCAAACTGATATAATAGTGAGCATTGTCCACATATTTCCTTCAGATGCTTGATGCTTTAAGTAAATTTTTACGTGATAACAACCAACTCCATCCTGAAATAAAAAGCAACAATAAAATAAAATCACATATTAAATTAATATAATTATAAAACAATGAAAATAAAAGCACTTTACCTTTCAATTCTCCATGACCAATCCTTCCTATCCTGCCCACAACTAACCGCCAAGGCTGGGTGCTTTGTGACATAACTCCCAATATAAAATCCATCAACTTTTCCAGAGGCAACTCTTCTGGCAGAAGCTTTTTTCCGTCGTTTTCTATTAGGCACATCGATATTTATTGTTATAGTTTCAAGGAATTCTCCTCGCTCGTCTGTTGCAACTGCCAGAAGCCAACTCTGATCTTCTGACAAGCAGTAATTTAAATACATAACAGAACACTGTTGTTCTGCAGTCGATAATCTGAATCCTTCACCATCACCTTTCTCTTTGTGAGGAGCTAATATATTGGCGGTGTGTATAGTTTGTAAGGGGCACGATTCTTTTCCTGAAGAAGAAGATTAAATATCCCATTTAGAGGTATTATAAAACATATAAAATAATATTACTATTATTTTATTGTATATTGTTAAATAAGAATACATTCTTATACTTACATCCTTAGATTTGAGAAAAAGTTCCGCGTTTGCAGCAGTTCCAAAGCCAGTTAGAGACTTAATATTATTCGTATGTATTAAATGCCTCCTACATTGCATAAATACACTGAGCGCAAGTGACCTCATATGATCAGACATTTTAATGGAATCTCTACATCTTCCCAATTCCATAATACTATCTTGTGAAATAATCTGAAATTAAAAAATTACATAATTAAAAACATCTACTTATATTTTCTAGAAAACATAAAAACTAAAAAATAAATGTTTTATAATAAATAACTTAATTTAAATATATATATATATATATATATAGATATATATATTATATATTATTAGACCGACATATATATATTACTATATTACTATATATTATATACATATATATATACTTATATATATATATTATATACATATATAATTATATATATATTTATATATATATATTATCAAAGTCTAATAATATGTATATATATATATATATATATATATATATATATATATATATATATATAACAAAACAAAAAAAAATGTTTAATATATTCATTTTATTACCTGTACAGATATGTTATTTCGAACACTTTCTGGGATGCCAGCTAAAACAGCACAAAAACATCTCAACAAAGCTAAACATGCAAGCCTTTCAAGATCTGGATTATCTGAGCCCGTTGTAAAAGGCTCAACTAATATATAATTAGAGATGGTGGCAGTACTTCATCCTCTTCATGAGTGGATACTATAACTACATCAGCAGTGTTATTAGACATTGATGAAGTTGATTCTTTAGCATCAGGTTCTGAAATTGAAACAAAATGGAATGAGTCTTAGATGCCACTAACCACTGTTAAATACATAATACTAAAATTAAATATAATTGTAATGAAAGATACTATATTATATCATAAAACTTAGTTTACAAAGATATTTTTTAATTTTAATGCTTCAATTTATAATTATTATTACCTTGGTCATGTTTAGGAGTGGATGGTGCTTTCTCAATTCCTTGTGAAGGGTCCGGTGTACTTGGTGGTGGCATAGGACTTGGCATTGGCCGGTCTTTTATCGTGCAATTTGATTCAGGTTCCAATAAAGTTTTATCATTGAGCAAAGGCATCAAATTTTGTTTACAGACCTATTAATACAAAAAGACAAGAAAAATAAATAATTAATTTGAAAATTGACAGACTTCAATATTAGTTTCACATGTGATTATAATAACCAATCAACTGCCACTTAAATAATTTTGAAATGAATAAGTGTTAATGATAAGATGGCAAGTCCAACCCCCAAGTATTAAAAATTTGTACCTAATAATAATAGATAAAAAATTAGCTTAATGTAAGTAAAATTATCAATATTTAATTATATCATTATTTAATATAATAAAATAAATTCATCAAATATTATTCTTTCACTTACACAAAAGATGAACACCCTTTTTAACTCACGGGCCTCATTTAAATTTTAAAATTTTGTGGCGGCCGCACTTAATAATTTTCAAAGCTTGATATATACTAATAAACATTATAATATAAAAATGCTGAACTAAAAAAAAATCATAAATTAATGCAACAAGAAAAGAATGCATAATAATTGATTTATTGATGGGAAAAAGTATATAAAATGAATAAAACTATTTTAAAAGTGCTTGGAGGGCCGCAAATAAATATTTAGAGGTCTCCATGAAGCCTCTGGGCTATTATCTCTTTATATAAAATACTAAGCTCTTAAATAATTATTAAAAGATACTATAATCTTACCTTGGCATAGGACTTGAGCATGTCAGCTACTTTAGAATCTCCCAAAACTGTGAACCAATCATCAATTGGCTCCCCTGAAAGTAATTTTGAATTGTTGCACACTCTTAAAATCCCATCCTTCAACACTTTGTTCAACGGCACATGTCTACCTAATTTACACATTTCATAAGTGGTGCTTAATTCTTTAAAGAACGTCCGCACTTTTGAAACCACTGCATCATTATCCGGTGCCATCACAATATAAGAAACATCACGTGTATAAGAATAAGGCTCGAGTAATAATTTATCCCAGTATTGAATTGCATAAGGTGATAATGACAACCAGTCTTTTTCGTGCCCCACAACTAATGACGGAATCGGTTGCGGTTCGCACATATCATCAGTACCCCGTCCAGCAAGTCTATGGAACTGCCGCCATGTCAAGGGACCTGATATTGTGTAAGGGGCCTCCCACAACCTTGTAGGACATTTTTTCTGTATAGCTTCTTGTAATAAAGGCCTTAAAGAGTTCATGACTCTTATAATATCCTGATTGCAATCAGGACCTGCAGCACGTATGAACGGCCACCTATGCACACTTGCAGTATTATTTATTCTTGGAGTCCTATCTTCTAATTTGCATATATTTGTATTATCTAAAGTGGCTTGCCGCCCTTGATCCAGAGCTAAACTAGTCAAGTCATTACCATCCATAAATTCTAAAGCATTTAACATATTACTGATAGACGTAGTATTTGCTCTTTGATACCGACAGGCGGCCCTATGTAATGATCTACTAGAACTCTGTATCACAATACACTGATCACGTAACAAATCCATAACACTATGTGGGATCACATCAATAGCACTATGATCCAAACTAGATTCTGTCTTTGCACTAGATAACAAACTTGAAAGAAGAGAAACCTTTTGTTCTCACTGGGGTCATCAGCTAAGCCAGTGATCTCCATTTCATCCTCATAGAACAAACCAGCTTGATGAGCCAGTCTCCGGTTGACAACAGCACTGAAACCGCAACTACATCGAATGGGATCATCATCCACATACCTAAGAAAGAGTAGACAATCACATGTAAAAATTTAAAGAAATAATTTTTACATTATTAATTTTGAATTGAAAGTTTCAACTTTATAATTAACTTGTTACAATTCAATTTAATATTCTTCTTTCCTAAACTTTAATATTTACCCATTAACAGCAGCAGCAGAAGTGTGATGAGGAGTGGCTGGTGAAGCAAGCATTCCATAAGGAGGTGGTCCACAAGTCCCATTATTCGTAAAAGGACTAACAGAAGGTAATGGTGCTAATGTTGTCTTATTACTACAAGGGGGAGCTAAATAAATTCCAGCATCCGCTCCTCGTATGTTTCCAACCATCTGAAACAAAAAACATTTGAACTAAATGATATGGATCTCATAAAGAATATAAATGTATAATATTTAACAATTAAAACAGAATTAATTAAGTAAAATGATAAAATAAATCATGATTTACCTTTGGTCCAGCATTACAAACACATAATGTACAACTATCAAAGTTATGATCTCGAAAAAGATTCAATGCCGTGTCTCCAAGTAGAATATTCACCATCAGTGAATTAGCTTCTGGTGGCCTACTTAAAGTGCAAGGTGTAGTTGCTTCCACGGAAGGGAAATTTTTATTTAAATATGATGACGCTGTTGAAGCAGGTGAAGGCATTTCGTAAGGGGGGGGTGGAGGAATGGGCGTTCGTACAGATGGACCACCTGAAAATAAAGAGTTATACAATTGAAATATCAATTTATAAATAAATTATCACAATTTTCAAGCTTATAATATTCCCTTACCTGGTCTAAATGGATTCATATGCATATTTAAATTATTGTGCATGGGACTAGGTGGAAAATGATTAACTGGAGAAATAGGTGATAAACCAGGCCTGTGTGACATTCCTGGTCCCATATTTACACTAGAAACTGAACTTGACCTTGGTGCGGATGATGGGCCAGGAGGAATCATAGTATGACTGTAACAAAAATTAATGTATAACAATTTATATATATATATATATATATATATATATATATATATATATATATATATTTTATAAATTTATTTAACCCAGTATAAGTAATAAAAAATTAAAATCTTACCATGCTGCACTTATAGGAGTAACAGATTTATCTGAAGAAGATATGTTATTACTATTACTTTGCTGCCACGTTGGCTTTGGTTTATAAACACAATTTGGTGGAAGTGTTACTACAGGAAGTAATTGGCTAGGTAAGCTATTTAGAGGTGCATACTTAGAAGACCCCACATATTTACAAATAGTTGGAGGTTTAAATACATATGACCAGTCCTGTAAAAAATAAAAAATACATTTTACTTTAATAAGAATTCTCTCTAAAGTTATTTTCAATTTATTAAATTATTTACCTCTATATTCTCTTGCTGAGGGCTACCCATATTGGGATAAATCTCTTGTTTATACTTCGGCATATCTAAATCAGTCATAAAATCAGTAAGTGCTCCGCCGCAAGGACTGGCAACTAAATTGTGCTCTAGCGACGGCGGCGTGGGAAACATTTTCGATAATTCTTCGGCCCTCACGATTCCTGTATTCATATTATTTCCTGAGGAACAACGTTTCTGATCGTCAATACAACCAGATGATTTATTAGAACCAGGTGGCGTGTGAACTTGCAGCTGTAAAAAATAATATATAACATTAATAAAAGTTAGAGTAATTGTAATAAAAATCAGATATAAAAAATCAAAAGTTCTTGCTACCACTTCATCTCCTGAAGCATCATCCGAATTATCAAACAGTTCATCAAGATCATTTGAAGACACTTGAAGTCCTTCATTGGTATACAAATTTCTTGCATTTATTTTATTACAATCCTTTTCCTGAAAATACATTTAGATTTTAATTTTAATACATTTGTATTTTTTTTGACCTTCAATATGCTTTAAGTTATACTTACAATATTTTCTTGTTTAATTTCTTGTTTGACCAAAATATTCATAGCTACTGGTGGATCCGGAGCCGAACTAACCGGTGTATGACCGGCATATAAGTGTATTCCTCGACCCAATTTCGTTTCTTTCTTCACTTCACTAGGTTTAAATCGTTTTACGGGATGATTTAACCTAGTAAAATAAAAGAAAATGTAATTAATAAATAGATAAATAAATAAACAATTTAATAATGATATTCGCTAACACTAACCAAGCATCCATCGTACTGTAATCGTACAGCATATCAAGAGTATGTTCATTATCATGAAGTGCAGATTCATATTCCCGCGAAACGAGAACAGGCCTTTTTAGAATACCCATGTTTGGCAAACCATTGGTTGTAGCAGCATCAGGAGCTTGGGGAACCTCTACAGATTCAGGAGGTGCCACATAAGGTGACGAAAGCTGCAAAACATTTGTACTTAAGTGATTGAACAATTAAGAGAAAGATTATATGTGTGACAAAATATTTACCAAATTTCCTCCTATACTAGAAACGCTTTTTGGTCCCCCTGTGGCGTTTTGTTGCGCATTCGGCTCGTTCAGAAGCGCACCATTAGTATCATTCTGTTCATGTGTCTCAGGAGTAGACGCCACTGCTGCATCAGTACTTTGTCCAGTCGGAGTATTGTTCGATTTTTCTAAAACCGACGTCGGCGGTTGTGGAGACAACACCGGCATTAAGGCGTCGCAGGGAGGAACGGAGGAAGGCGGTCGAGGCGTCGACCCTCCTGCGTTTCCATCGAGAGGTGAAGGGTTAGCAATTCCTGGTACGCTATTTGCATTCATCATTGGAGATGGTGCACCAGCGCTGCCGACTGATAATACTCCTAGATTTTCTGATGATGTATTAGCATTACTTTGTTGCTGCGTAGACACTCGACTATATGAAGGCGGCGTCTGCGACGGACTAGATTCTTCAGAAGGTCTGTAAGAATTTATGAATACTATATTATCAAGCATTATTATACCATATCATATCATATATTGTGAAAAATACATAATGACAATACGGAACTTGAATAAAATCAATCCCAAAAAAATATCAAAATTTGGCAAGTACAGCAACAAAAATGAAATACTCAATCTAACCATAGCGATTTTAATTTTATTGCAGTAGTTTTTCAATATTCGTCATTGATATTATTCATATTCCACTTTTGATTGCCAAAATCAGAAATGTTTATATACAAATGAATAAGAATGCATCAGGAAAAAAACCAACATGACTCTGAAAAAAGCTGTAAAGTATCACACGACAAGCAATGACATTATAACATGATCATGGAATATGCTGGAAATTGGTGAAAAAATACTTATTAATTTAGCTTAAAACATGAGAACATTTAAATATTTATAATACGATGTAAGAAATATAAAAAATGAAAATGGATTAGTTAATACATATAAAATAACCTGAAACGAGATCAATTATATCACACGTTATACATAGCATTCAACAACTAAATATAAGCGATTTTAATTATTTAGTTATGCAATAAGTTGTAGTTTATGAAATGCGTTAACTAATATTTGTGTGTCGATCTGAAATAGTGCACAATAATATGATATTTATATTAGTAAGTGAAGGCAGATAATGAGTATCCAGCAGAAGATATCGTAATTGAAGCAATCTATCAAACTTTGCATAGTTAATTTAATGAATATATAATGATCTTTTATGTACATATTAAGATTTAAGGCGGAATAGCAACTAGTATATTAATTTATCGTACGTAAAATCTAGCATGTAGACTTTCTAATTTGAAAACTAAAGAATCCACCGTTTTTATTTAATACCATATCCGAAAATAAATCGACTACTTACTGAAAAGCGTGCATTAATGATTGGATAATAATAAGTTATACATATATATTTATTATATACATATGACTGTATGCAGGGTATAATGTATAGTATTAGCAATACCATTAAAAAGCTTAAAAGTTGCATTATATTTATGTCTGAAAATAAGTATTACTAAATGGGGACAAGCCCATTTACTACAACGTATCATCCGACCTAAATATGCAACAAAAATATTAGTCAAGCTTTAGATGTATTGTTTATTGTGATAATGTGAACGCACGTGAGTGAGTGTGAGATTACAATAACTGTATTAAAAAGAATTTAAAAAAACAATCCGCACGCCATACTATTTTAATATTTTTGACTTTTTTTAGTTTATTTATTTTGTATTGCGTGTTTCGCACAGCCCTCGCAATGAGAACAAACCTCGGCGCGCTGTTGCTTTTGGTCTTAATGCAGGTCCGCCACGTCTCCGTCTTGGGCAATGGCGATCGCCTATGAAACGGCACTCGGCCCGTTCCTGCTCCGGACCTGCTATTTGCAATTGTGTTGTTCGTGTTGTTTTGCTGTGAAGACGATGATGTCTTGTTGACGCCGCTAGACCGACCAGTTAAACGACCGCCAATGTACTTTCTACACCTGATGTGCATTTGTATTTTGTCACACTTTTCTTTTTTTTATCATTATCTTAGAATAACCGCTTATTAACTTAGCATTTTTCTATTTACTAAACGTAGCTCTCAGCTGAATATAATTAAATGAAATTTCCATTTGGGATCAATGAAAGTTATATACGAGTATTTGTAAATTAAAATATTCGAATAATATTTATATAGACCAATTAGTGTTAGTGGTAATTAAAAATAAACTGACTGCTGGCAGTTAACAGTATCTTGTCGTTAAATCAAAATAATATTCATTCATCAAATCATGATTAATTACGTAAAGACATATAAATGAGTAAATATTAGAGTGCAACTCATTCTCAACACTACATAAAATTAAAAATTTCAAACTATAAAACCTTGGTTCTACGTTTAAAATCTTTATACAGTTTAGCTCTCAAATTTTCTACTGATAAGAATATTAAAAAGGACAACTGATTAAGCCACACATTCAATATAACCAAGATTTAAAAGTACAGGCACAACATTAACATAATAAATCTAGTAAGTATTTAAGCTAATATTAAGCATTTCTAAAGAATAGTAATCGCCGAATAGTCTCTTTTGTAAATGCCCACTTAACCAGATTTTATTACTTTTAGTTATAACTAGATAGTTTTGAAGAAATCCCAAAAACAAATATCAATCATACTACCTACAACTTTCAGAAATCGCACATCAGCTGATGCAAATTATAATGATTGTATAGATTTATTCCATGTGTAGTTTATAGTTTAAATTTTATTTCTCAAATTGCATAAGCTGATGAACGTTTCGATATAAACTCTATCTAGTATTACAGAAATGCATTTCTAATAATAAAATTTAATATCAAAATTACTTACTTGGAACAAGAGCAATTAACTTTATTTGTAGGGTCTGTGAAGTCCCACTGCGTTGAGGTGTTATTGAAGGAATTAGAACTACTGTTTGATGAGTTGGTACTATTGAGGTTCATATTATTACTAGAACCATTATTTTGAGAATTTTCTGATTGTTTTGATTGGTCCACTTGCATTGGAAAACTACTTCCATCTTGCAAACTTTGGTTCTGAATAAATAAATTTATATTAGAACAAATTAAATTATAGAGAAAATGTCTCTCCACTACCAGCAATACAATTAAACTAAACTATTTACAATTAATTGTAAATATTTTAGGACTTTACAAACCTGTGACGTATATTCTGGATTCATAATACAATCTTGCCAAACACGTTCAGGAACGAACACAGCAGGCGTTGGAGGTAGGGTCAAACTAGGGGGTCCATGAGGAGTCAAACTCGGACCTAGCCCGCAATACGAAACAGGTGATGGAGGTGGAGTCATTATGGAAGGCTGATTTGGCTGACCTGCTGCTGAACCAAAATAAATTATTTAAAAATTTAAAACTATTCAATCGTCAAAAAATTTCAAAAAATATACATACCTGGCTGAACAGAATTTTTAGAATTGATGGGTAAATTAGTAATACCACTGTTGGAAGATTTTGCTTCATCCATATCTGTTACTAATACGTAGCACGATGGATACCTCATCTTCACGCCACCGACTAAAACCTAAGAAAAAATAGAAAATTGATTATTTATATATAAATAAATTTATGTAAATGAGTAAAGCATATTTTTTTTAAAAAAATACTAACTTCAACAGCCTGTGGTAGGCTTGGGTCACTGTTTTCACGAGGTGTGATAGGATAAAAATGCCGCCATTCTTCAAGCAATCTAGAAGTGGCAGTGTCCATTGCTCTACCACTTTGTCCAGTCAACGTTCCAGCCATTCCGAAAGGAGCTAGAATGACTGCTCGAAAACAAACAGTAATTAGAATTATTATTAATGCTGTATTTTAAAATCTTTAAAAATATAATAAGTTGATAATAACCTTGTCTGGGTGGTTGATCTGGTGTCGAGGATACAATGTGATGCCTTTTCAGACATCTGACTGGTGGATGTTGTCGAACGTCCACGCTGGCGCAGACAGTACTCTCACCATGCACGAAAAACGCAAATGAGAAAGAAAGGTGTGCCGTGCTGAAAAAACAAGAATATTAAAATCGCATATTTATTACACAAGTTGCAATCGTTGCAAAAAAAACTATTAAGAAATGTGCGAAATGAACGAAGCGTTGCTCTTTTCTCACGAACAAAGCTCAGAGAACTTCGACAATTATTCTTGGAAGAACTCAACCTTAACAACAGATCGAAAGTCGTGTTGGAAAACCAACGCAACAATTAATCCATCACTAAGTCGATAGGACTGAGATACAAGTACATTGAATCTACTTGTCTCAGTGCATCTTCCGAAAGCTTTGAGTCTGACCGGGATTCGATCCAGGGACCACCAGGACAGCATTCAGGTACGAAACCAACTAGCTAACGAGGCTCTCGAAGAAGAAATCAAAAATTCATGCAAAGTCGTCTTCAGAGAAATGTTTCAGTTGATTTGAGTTAAATAAAATGTATACAGTTTCAGAATGTTATTACTCGGTTATCAATATTTAACAATCTCGATGTACGTTTATTGCGATGTAAAAATATCATTCCAGCATCAAAGTGATAAATCAATCCTGAATGAAGCTGACTAGCTAGTTCTAGTATACTCATTTAAAATATTATCATGACAATGTCTATTGATACGCTACCCAAGCATATAGCGTTAATTACGCTTGAAGGTCAGCACAATAACAACATGCGCCGGTTTGGATCGGATAGAGGTATTCCAGATCCAATTCTTTCATTAAAAATATTACTGTAATTGGAAAATGGATACAAAACTTATAACATTATAATATTTAATTATTATGTGCATTCCAATTGATCATCAACAGAAAGCAGGAAATATTTTTATATATTTTTTTCATAATCACCTTTTTCCTAGTTGACGTTCGGAACTTGAATAAGGTTGAACAAACCATTTTCCTAAGCGTACAAAATCCCTTGAGAGAAGACATCTGAAACATAAGTAAAGCAGAAATTGAATATAATGAAATTTTTAATGAAATGAAGTTAGATTTATAATTTATAAATAAATACCGTTCAATTAGATTATGGAGCGCCTTGAAAAGCAATGATCGACATTCATAGGACAGCCCGCTCTCCCAGCAACCATTTTGAGTTTCTAGAAAATAGAAAAGAAAGTTATTCAAGATGAAATTCATATAAATAAAAGTAAATTAATGTAATAAGAAGGATCTCATAATAATAAAATATGAAATTACAAATATTACAATATCGTTGATATATCAATTTGCCATAATATGAAGCAATAATTCCATTTTTTTTATATAGACTCTAGCTGTCCAGGCAAACGTTGTTCAGCCATAAAAATATTTCCAGGGGCGGCTAATACAAATTAAATAATTGTTTAACCCTTTTTGAATTATTGGTTCACCCACTGCAACGCATGCTACATATAAATATTCCTGAGAATCGAGTGAGATTTCAAAAACTGGAAAAATTTCTGGCTTTGCCATACGTTTGTATGATACCTAGATTCCTATCAAAAGCTTTTTTACTTTAAATTAAAATAAAATTTAAGCTTTTCCATAAACTCAAAAAACTCTTAAAACTAAAATTATATCAAAAACATTCCTTGACTGAAAGCAGTATAAAAAATTATTCGATTACTAACATGACTATTACAAAATCGGGGTTTGTGGTAGAAAGGTGAAAATTTAAGAGTGTATGTGATTCAAATTTCAAAATTATAAAAAAATACAGTAGAAAAATTTGGTCCAAAAAATAAAAAAAATCTTAAGGGTCTCAAGAACAGCTATTGACCGATTCTCATTCATACTAAATGTTATGAAATTTTATCAAAATCGATCAAACCGTATTGGAAGAGTATTGCGACGAATATCATGACACGAGATATACTATATATACATATCCATATATTAATTTAGAAATATGAACAAACAACACTCTTGTTTGCACTAATTTATTAAATAATAATTTTACAAACGTTTCGAGACCAGGTTTGTCCCATCATCAGTGTGTAATAATTTAAAATCTAAAATATGGAAATCTAAATTAGCATTATGTGTTATCCGTTACAAGTCGTTCCTTTTACTGCCATACCTATATAGATATCAAAATGTGGATAACATTTTGAAAATCTGATGAAAGTGGCTTACTTCTTAAGCAAGTTAAAAGATGCCTCTACGCATTGATTGTTATATATAAAAAAAATTATAAATTTTACACCAATTTTATTCTCGAAATTATTAAAAATTATTCGTGTATAATGCTATCATATCACACCGTGCACAGATATTATGATCATTGATAACCCAGAGAGTTGTGTACATTACGCGGGCTCGTATTTATAAACAACAGCTGCTTAAAGAAACACGCTCGAATTTGTCCTTGGCTCGCTTACTCTAGTTATATTATACGATTAGTCCCAATGCTTTTGCTTTACAGATCATTAAAAATGTACTATTAGAGAATAGAGATACGTGTTGCTCGAATAAATTCGCAAATGTTATTTGAATTAAACATAAAGGATGTAAATTACGTTAGTTATATTTTAGATATAAATAGAAAAGAGGAGTGACTGAAAATATTAACATTTAGCATTAATTGGGATGATGTATTAAATCGTAGAATTAATAAATTGATAAAATTCAAACATATGTATTTTTAAGTTTTTTTTTAATTCACGTGATATATTACTATACCCTCCCAATCCCACGTTTTAAGCCGCACGTGATTAAAGGACGGGCCCAAACCTTAAGATTATTTATAATTATCAATATTATAATTATATTAATTGATAATTATTAAAATTATTATCAATAAAAATGTTTATGTATTTTCAAGAATGACAAGAAATATAAAAAAATACTCCTGCTGCAGATCCAAAATGATTCATATAATGTGTATCTCTTAAATATAAACTCATAAATAAATAAAAAATACAAATACTATCAATGATTATTATTACAAATTATTATCGTATCTACGAAACCACTACAATACGAAACGAAATAGTGTAAGAAACGTACTTCCAGGTCAGCAGGTCACGTGGGATCAACAGGCGCTACTAACCACCCCCACTTGCGTAAGGGATGGAGTCGCAGGGTAAGATGCAAGAGCTATGAGACAAACGCAAAAGGTTGTTCGCATCCACAGAATATGACTTGAAAACCTCTGTAGATGTGTGAATAGTCAGAGAGTCAAAGAATACATTATTTGAGCAAGGTCAGATGTTATTTTTGCAAGAGTAAATTGCAAGTTTTACAGATCCCACTCAAAAGAGATAGATAATACGATCATTTCTAACAATTTCCATAAAATTGTTAGAAATTTTATACTTTCAATATGGAATTAAAGATGTGTGCTTTATAATTCAGAAAGCGCATGACTAATAAAATATTAATATTTTGAAAAAAAAAATTGAAGCACTTTTCTTCGTGTACAAATATTAATTTTTAAAAAAAGGAGACAACAGCTTGAGATAAAAACCAAAAAGCTTTACTGGTTACTAGGGACTAAATCCAAACTAACCACATACAATAAGCTACTTTTATATAAATCTTTATTCAAACCAATTTGGTGTTATGGTATACAATTGTGGGGCAGTGCTCATAAGACTAATATTGAAATTATACAGAAATTTCAAAACAAATTTTTGAAAATTGCCTTAGGAGCTTCAAAATATGTTTCCGACACGAATACTCATACCATAAATGAAGTAATAACAAAAACAGCACACAAGTATAGAAACAAGCTAATCAGTCATCCAAATTCATTAGCAAACTCATTGATAACAGAGAACTATCCAAGAAGATTGAAAAGAAAAGCGCCACTGGATTTAATCCATCAACTCTCCTGATAAAAATAGAAATAACTTAATCATTATTTATAAGAAATTATTCAATAAGTAAATAGTTAAAATTATATAATTATCAATAAAATATTGTGAATTTTATATCGAATGCAAAAACAACTACTGAGTTGTTTTTTCCAACATGCCCTTGTAGTATACAATGTCCCTTTTCGGCCTACTATTGTAAATTCATCAAATTTATTGAATGTCCTTTACTGGACAATTGTAAATAAAAAATATTATTTTTATTTTTTTTGCAAGTTTAATTTTATCGGTTTTACAAATGTCTATTAACATACATTATTTTCAAAGAAGAAAGAATTGCACCAAATAGGTGGAAAGTATAACTGAAAGAGAAAATCATAGTATTCTATTTCCTCCCCCCATAAAGTAATGTCTAACGTGTTCCAGTCGGTATTATACCGACATACCCAGACCAAACATTTAAGTTTAAACGAATTTCGTTCGCTATATAGAAACAAACATTTTCAAGTATATTAGTCCTTTTTTATAAAATTTTTAGTCCATAATCCGCATTCCAATTTAATATAAATATTACAATTCAAGTAGACTCTACGTATTTTTGCACATACAACAATTTTAATGAAATTCCATTTAAAAAGACAGCCTCTTAAAAAAATATGTCTTCAATGTAATTTTCAAAGCAAGTGGATAAAACGCAATAATAAAGTTAATACTGCATATGCATTTTTTATGACATACAGACACTTGCTTACATTTTAAAATTACCGTTATAAATTTGAATATCCAATTCACGAAATTCAAATAATTCTCTGTGTCAATTACCATTTAAGGTTTTCGATCCCTGATTTAAACACAGATGTTAAAGCACTTCGCGACGAGTTCGTTTTGTGATCAATACACCGCCGGCACCACCACGAGGCCTGATAGGGTTGCCAATGTCCGTCCGCCGGATTCAATCAGGGTTTCTATTACTAAGAAATGCTTCGGTTACGCGGCGAGGAACATAATATGATTATTCTAGATTCTAGAAGCTACAAGAAAATGCAATCAGATGAAATTGAAGTGAATCTGCAAAAGACTTCGGTTTAAAAACTATTTAGAAAAAGAAAAAATATTATTTGTGGAGACTTTGGTTAATGAAATTGATAGAGAATATTTATTTACTTCAATACGTCACAGATTATATGAAGAACTGGAAAACCAAATTAATCTGTTTTCTCAATCATTGAATCAACAAAAATAATTTTTCTTCTATTCTGAGTCCATTGTTTATTGAAGTCTATTATTAGTATTTAAAATTTTCGCCTTTATTCAAAATGTATACTCAAATCTATGTATCATACTAAATTGAAAACATAAGTATTATTACCAATAAATAAATTAATTAACTTCCCGTAGGGTAAGTTATTGTAAGGGGCCAAAAATCGAAATTGAAAATTTTTACATTTCTCGACGTTTTGAAGGTTTCTGAACATTTTGGCATATCTTAGAAAAAATGGATGTATGTGTGTGCGTATGTGTGTGTGTGTGCGTGTGTGTGTGCGTGTGTGTGTGTGTTCGGATACTGATCAAATTTTCATGAAGGCAGGCCTAGCGGTTTCAGAGACCTAGTAAAAAAAGTAAAAAAATGCCATCTGGCGTCAAAAATGATCATTAGACATATGCACATCAAATTATCAGATATTTTATAGAGATTTTAACAATAAGCATAAATCTTGTTTACATTCCTATGGGTTCCGTACCAACGTTTATCCATTAGGCGGCGGCACGGCGCTTACGCGCTTCGATATTTCGTCTCTATACAGTTAAAGAAGTACGATTGCTTTGAAAAAAAGTTCAGAATTTGCAAAATATGTCAAAATAAATTTCAAAAAAAGTAGTTTTGTCAAATTCATAGTTTCTCAAAAATCTAATTTTTTCGAAGTAAAATTTTTTCAAAAATGTTAATCTTTTTAAAAAAAATATTTTTTGGTGCGGGAAGTGCCAGCAATTTGCCTTAAGGCACGATGCCATGTGCCCCACTAGTTTTATTTTTAATCTGACTCGTCAACTGTTTGGTTTGCCATCTATAAAAACCTTAGTTAGTAATCTCATGTCTGTCTCACATTTAACAAAAAAAAAAGATTGAAAATGCAAATATTGAATTTCTGACGTATACCATCCCTAAGTATGCGGAAGAATCAAAATCTCAGTGAATTTACAGGGTACCTTTCTCTCAAAATCTCTTTATTACGGAAGCTGCTGGTCACCGTATAGTACTAATAAAACAAAAATTGTTCATCCCTACCCGAACAATGATA